TGTGCCAAAAGAGAGAGAGCACACAAATATAATAATATACATATGTTATACAAAATTATGGGCAAAGCGGATTGTAATGGAACTTTTGCTGGGCCAAAAACGGGGGTTGCCGATGATGAATTCCTCTTCGAGTCCTCGACTTGGAACAAGCGCACAGAGTGAAGTGATCTAAATACTTGTTCCCAATCGTCGACTCAAAGTAGTGAAGCCAGACAATCGGCAGGACAGCCAGAAACCTAGTAGCTTCAGAAGGTCAGCTGTGCCCCGGCATGTACTTCTCTCAATACGGGTTTGCTCATGTATAGTCTTGTGTCACCAGGTCCCAGCGAATGTACAATGTGACAGGTTCTCTTTAAAGATCCTTTGCAATGTTGTCACTGTTGTGGTAACTATTTGACTTTCTCAGAAATCTGATGTAGTCAGATAAGTTTCCTCTGTCACTATGAAGGGAGTTTGCTTCTCTAAGTGCTTGGTGGAGGTCGTGTGATGGGGAGCAATGAGTGATCGCATTCTATTATATATCCAGGTATGGGGGTCTGTCTTCCAAAGTACCTCAGGTCTATTGCTTTGGGACCTTTTTCTTCATATGAAGTTCTGTGCTAATAACTTGTATTAGTAAGAATTTTGCCTGAGCATTCTGTATTTACATGGACTTAGTCTGCCTGCTGAATGGTTGTAATTTTCATACCGCCTTCTGCTCACATTGCCACTTGTCTCCCAATGATGTGATTCGCCCTTATACTGAGCCTGTGAAAGGCAGTCAGTGTATACACAGGTTCCAGCTCAGCCCTCTCGAGGTCTTGATAAAAGGGTTGCACAGAATCATGTACAACAGAAGAGCTTGTTAAATTTGGCTCCATAAATACTGACCATTTGAGTTGCACTACTAGATCTATACACCTGCTGTGCCCTTTTTGAGGGGCTCCTACCATAGCTGCATTGGGTTCCTGGGCCTGTACACTTGCAATGTCCATTATGAGGGGCAGCCTCCATCCCTAAACTGAGTTACCTGGTCTTTACACCTGCTGTGCCCAGGGCTGTACACCTCCTGTGTCCATTGTGAGGGGTTCCCACCATCCCTGTGCTGAGCTTTGCACCCCATCTGTACCCAAGTGAAGTCAGATGCAGCGCACCAGACTTCACCTGCAACTAAAATGACTTTTGGGTGGATTGGTTCTTTAAACTGATCCCATTCATGCTTTTTCAGTGGCCTTGTCCTTCTTGTGTGATTCTTGTGACCTTTTAAGGGATCAGGTTTGATTTTTTTAATTCCATGAATATAAACTGGGGTTTTATCTGCGTTAAGGTTCAGACATTACACAACATGACTTTTTAAAGTTGGCTGATATCCTGGTATATCATTTTCAAGACATTGAAGTAATAGTCTTGCATCTTAAATTGGATCACTTGAAAAATAAAGGGTGTCGCCCATGTCTACCTATTTCCACCATACACATTTTGTCCAGCAGAGGGAGGAAGAGTCTCACACTTGCTATAATTACATTTATTATCAGTGGCGGTCCATACAAAGCAGAGATGCAGCAGATGATAACATGTTGTAGAATCATTTTCTTGCAGTAAATTTTAGATGTATAAATGAAGAACATTTCCATGTACTGATAATACATAGGAATGGATGACGTTCTGAAAATGTCACTCAGTTGCAGTTCAGCTAAATGTTTAAAAAATGTCAACCTCCAAAATGTGGAATTTCTGAACCAAAAGTCCCACTTAAGTCAAAGGAAACCTGAACCGGGCTGTTACAGAGCAGCAAAGTTCTGAAGTATTGTTTGGGCAGCTCCTGGCAGCCAGGCCTAGTGAGATGATGGGGCCAAATAGAAACAGCCACGTTCTTTAACATTTGACCAGGGATACTATGATCCTAAGATTGAAGGGGAACCTAGAAGATATATAGTTCATACCTCTTTTTGTTTAAATCTGGCATTTTAAGCTTCAAATGTGAATACAGCAGAATTACTGCAAGAAGTCTCCTTAGATCTACAGAGGGATGCACCTAAAAAAGATTCTGGAACACTAATTCGCAATATAATTATTTTGATATTAAAGACGTCCGCTGTGAAATTGACCAGATATGTTCCATGAGGACAGTGCTAAACACATTTTTTTTTTTAAATCTTCAGCGGCGCATTTACTTTAAGCTTCATGTATAAAAGGAGAGTCTGAGACCTCGCTCAGTGAAACTTTCTACATGCCCCGAGTGCCACGTTCAAGTCTACAGGACACTGGATATAGATGTTTGTGTTGTGGCCTCCTTGAAGCTAGTTATCTTCCTCCTACCTGCTAATCATCTAATTTTCCTAAAATATCGCCAACTTCCCTATTTTAAGCTTTCGGTTGTACTTATTATGCAAAGACCTTGTGCAATAGTAGTTTTGTTTCCATTGATGCCTCCTGTAATGACTGTTAAAACTCCCATGTGTGAAGAACATTCTCAGATTCTGAAGATCGGTGTTCACACCACTCCAGGGTGTGAAGTCTTAATGGGGAACATTATTTAAACTTGGCCATCTACAAACCATCTCACCTATGGGACCCATTTATATTGAATAGTCGACTATTGCTTTTACTTCTGGGGGACTTCACCCAGTTTTACCAGCTCATCCCACCCAACTTTCTTCTATACTAGTTTGACATAGAAAGTTGCATATAATGTAGATATAAACCCAATTACTAAAATCTCATATACATGTTAGTAATTTTAAACATTTTTAAATATTGAGCGCTTTTAATAAAAGCTGGTGATGCTTCCATGAAGGTCCTTGTTCAGGTGCATCCTGTTATTGGGTGACAACACACTGTCCCTATATTCCAGTTGTGCTCCTGTGTCACTCTATCACATGCTCCCTGTAGGAGAATACAAGTGGCTATTCCAACAGATATTGTCCATGCATGGCCAATCATTTGTCCCTATCAGAAATCCAGCCCAGACCATTGATGTGAAGCCTACACTGGAGTGTGTATATGTAGACAGTAAGTGGTCGAAGAGGCTGGAGGTGATCAGAAGGCCTTAATTTTACAATTGTTTTGATTTTAGTTTAGTTTTTTTTCAATTTTAGTAGTGTGTGTGTGTGTGTGTGTGTGTTTGTTTATTTTCATGCATGGTTAAACATGCAAAGATGACATTGTCTCTGATTGCCATGAGCATTGTGGGTGTTTCATATAATTGGAGACTATGATTTCAGTCAAAGACTGTGGTAGGCTTGCACTGAGATTGTGTTATCAGCAGGACAACATTCATTGTTCAGCCTTTGCTCTCAGTGCAGTTGCTTACCTTGTCTCGGCAACACACTGTAAAGCGGTTATCTTGCCATCCACGGCCTATATTAAAAATGCCTAATTACATCATACTATGGTTTTCATGGAGAGGAAGCTCTCCTGGCCAGGCTATCCTGCTTTGTAGTGCCCTTATGTATTCCCCTTTTTTAAAGGGTGGTGAGTATATCTAAAACGCAGGGTGGTATCCTCATAATCTGTGACTTGTCTCTGCAGTGACACTTCGGACCTCATCACTTGTGTTGCCGACTTGCAGTACAACAATCAGAAGTTGCAGCAAGAGAAGGCCAAGCTGAAGATCGCCGTAGAGGCGCAGGAAGAGACCAACCAGCGCCTGCAGGAGGAGAACGAGGAACTGTGCAGCCAGTGGAAGAGGTAATGGTTCTCCTGACCCTAGAGGGAAGACCATTCATGACCTGATCATGTTGCTTATTATCCACATGCCACAAAACACCGTTCCAAATATCTGTTGGACAGGATGTGAGCTGTGTGTGTAGGACAATGTCTTCCCCCCAAAGGAACCGACCTTTTATTTCACTTGTTGAAGTTTAAATCTCTAGAATCGTTGAAGGCCTCTGGTGAGCCTCCATTAGGGTTTCCATGGACATGAAATGAGTGTTGACTGAATACAGTTTATATCTGCAGTTGTGAGAAGCTAGATCCCAGTAGGTTAAATCTCTCGGTGAAGGTTGAGTTTTGTTTTCTTGCTGTGACTCTGGTAAGGCAGCTATCAAACATTAAGTGGCCCCTGGGAGGAGGTCCGGATACGTAGATATGGGATAGAGAGAGCATCAGATGAAGGTGTACTTGAACCAAAAATTGGTTTAATCTCTTGTGTGTATCAAGGATGCTCCAGCAGCTAGTTTTGGATCTTTTACCCCCAGAATCTCAAACCCCTGACGAAGGATACCTCAAAACTCCCGAAATGCGTTGGCTTGTTCTAGAGTAATTTTGAAATTAACATATCGAAGTCAACTGGTTTGGAATCTAAGAGGGAGATATGATTGGACAGTTTAAAAAACCTAATATAATAAGTATAGATTATATTAGGTTTTGGATAGACTGGCTATCATCCCCACATCTCTACCTCTGGGGTTCTCCTTTTCTATTACAGGTTCTCCTTTTCTATTACAGGTAATCTGTAAGTCTAGCAGAGCCTTGAAGCTTCTGCCTCAATCCGCTTTATTCTTTGTGGGTGGCCATCTAGATGACCTTTTAAAGTATATCTGTGGCCAAAACATTTTTTGTGATTGAGGTGCGAATAAGTTATGTCCACACTTTATTGTAATCTGCATTTCTATAGGCAAGATTCGCTATTTGTTTGTTCTGGTGACCATTGTCCTTGTCAAAAAGTAATGGCAAATGTAGTAGTATTTATTATTATTATTTATTATTCAGGATTTTTATAGCCCTAACTGTTTGCGCATTGCTTTATAATATAAGGAAGGTATTAGTTACAATACAATTCAAGACAAGATGCTAAGGAGGGTCCAAATTCTTCATCACCAGAGCAGGAATAGAGGGGCAATCTTCGAATGGGGAAACTTGTTCAGGTGACAACTGTCCAAGAGGGGCTCTATTCTCAATTTGTGAAGATTTCCTCACTTGATGTTGTGTCTCCATAACAGGAATAGAAGGGAAATCTCCCCTATGAGACACAAAAGTAAAAAATACTAATGGGTTTATACTATTTGCCAACTAGAATTAAAAGAGAAAGTTTTGTATTTAGATATCCTTAAGTGTGTGGGTGCCCTTAGTCAAAGATGTCTGGATCATTAAAGTAGAACTATGGCCTATTTAGGTTTTCCTTACAGATTTATCCCCCTGCAAAATCCCACCACTACCTGTTAATCCTGCCAGTGAAGTCCACCTAATGTAATGGGGTGGCAATGATGCTGCACTGCTCCTGAATTCAGAGCAGAGTTGCCACTCTTATGTAAGCAGTGACTGTTTGTACTACAGTGGGATTCAAAAAAAGGGGTCATGGTTGTGAACTTGGTCACTGCTAACTCACAGGCCTTTAGCTTGTCAATCATCCTCTGGCCACACCTAGTCCTGCCCACTGCTTATTGGATTGGCCGCACTGCTGCTACTGCTGAAACCCTCCCACTGTGAGCTGCAGTGTCTGGGAGGGGGAGCGTGTGAGACACAAATGAAGGAAGACTTGGTCAGGAAAGGTAAAGGTTGCTTTTGTTTTTCCTACGAGGCTTGTGCATCACATTGTGTTAGAAAACTGCTCTGTACATGTTTTTTTAATGGGATTTGTAGCTCTTTTTATAAGATTGACTTTTTGTTGTAGCCTCACATGGCGGAAATGATAAATGAGTTGTCTCCGCCATCGCTTCAAAACAATGACACCACAGACCTCTGATGGACTGCTGTACTGTCGTATTTACATATGGAAATAGGATTTTGTTTAACAAAGTTCTGTACATAGATGGTGACCGGAGATCGTGTCCTCCCGGTGTGACTTCTGCACGACTCCTCAATCTGCGGTGTGACAGTGAGAAATTGTTTCAAAGTGCAAACTGTGTGATGTGATATGAAGCTAGTGTCCATCCTTCCATTCCTTTATGCTTTCTTAAATCCGGATTGTGTGATGCCCCTTCAATTCACTTAGACAATGAGGGGGATTTATCAAAACTGGATCAGACAAAATCTGGAGCAGCTGTACATGGAAACCAATCAGCTTCCCTTTCATTTTCAAATCTTAACTGGACAAACTGAAGCTGATTGGTTGCCATGCACATCTGCTCCAGATTTGATCAATTCCCCTCTATCTTTTCATATCTATTTGGCTGGAGGAAATCATTTGCATTTCCCCTGACCAGGGGTGGGCATCTCTGGCCCTCCAGCTGTTGTGGCACTACAAGTCCCATGAGGTATTTCCAAGACTGATAGTTACAGGCATACCTCCTAGAGGCCAGGGCATGGTGGGATTTGTAGTTAAAGCACAGCTGGAGGGCCAGTTACCCACCCTTGCACCAGACGGTCATCTACTTGTACATTAGCTAACTGAGTGACCTTCACTCTTCTAGGTAACAGCACTTTGAATGCTGCTCGGAGTCACAGAAGTCATCACTGGCATTCCTTCTCTTTTTCCTTTAGGCTTTATCAGCAAGATCTGGGGGATCTTCAAGCTGAACTCCGGGCACACAAATTTAATTTAAATGTATTCCTCAATAGCCTCCAAGGGTAGAAATCCTCTGTGTGCCACAAATACCTTGGCCAACCCAGGTATTTTCTTGTTACAGTAGCAGTGGCCTCATCACTGTGCTGCACATATCCCATGCAGAGCCATGGGTGGGACCCAGCAGATCCTCCTACTTCCGGAGGGGGCGGACACAAGACCAGTCACCCTGCACAAGGAAAGAGGAGCAGTGACCACTCTTTATAATAGGAAGCTCCTCTGCAGAGATAAAGTTTAGATTACTAGACAGATTTGGGAAGAAATACACCAAGGACACCAAGCAGTTAGACTACACATGACTCTTGTTTTTAACCCATGGTTTTTGTTTTTGACCATCTTTTAGCTGTAACTGTTGAATGCAATGTTTGGTGCCAGTGGACCATTTTAGAAAATATTCCTTTTTAATTTTGTAAAATTTGGAGTGGACTGGCAGTTTATTATTAGCCATAAACATTACACAGGAGACTGTCTGCCAAAGTTTTCCTCAAGTCGGTCTGGTCTTCATCAAACTGAAGGCTGTTACTATACTTAATATGAACCTGTCGGGACAAAAAAAATATGGAAGTGCCATTGCTGACTTTTTTAATTGTCCCAGGTCAGGGTTGAGGTTGACTAATTCGGCGCACCTATTAACTGCACCCTGACCTCTTTGGAAGTGCTAGCTCCTGTCATCCTCATCCTTCATAATTTAGCAATGCTGGATTAAACCTGTTTTGTTGCCGTAACGTGGATTATGCGCATTTGTGCGATGCAGTGCCATTCATTCTGCCATTCTGAATTGCACCCCAATGTGTCTGCGCTGCAGCACACTACTATTCGTGGCTATGGATTACCATGTGTTGTGGTGTATTGCTTTATTAAAAATGGTGCTTGGACCTTTTTTTGGTGCGTTAGGCAGTCTGTTCAAAAAGAATTTGCTGTCTTAACGTATGTTAATGCACAACATAATCCCAGTCAACTTAACGGACCACCATAGTGTGAATCCAGCCTGTTGCTGACCAAAAGAAATATGTACATCATAAGTCCGGACTTCGCTGGCTCAGTACCTTTTTTATCTAGAGTAGTAACCGGCTATGTTTTAAAGAAAAGTTGACCTCCAGCATTTGCAGGTGCCATTTTCTAGTCCTGGTGAAGCTGTCTAGGTATAAGCTATTTCAAGTGTTTTATAACGGTAAATAAGGCTTGTAAGGGTGTGATGAGCACTAAAATGTATACATAAAAACACACTCTATAAATAACAAATGTACATTCTTCTGCATTCATTTTATGTTGTCTGCATAGTGCTGGTTTTGGTTCTCCCAAGACTGGCTCCCAAAAGTATGGTAAGTTGTGACCCTGAGCTCTCTCGGATTGTCTTATAGCGCCCAGCAGTCCATTAGCAAAGCTCGGGCCCTGAAGGGTGAGCTGGAGGAGATGAAATCAAACATGAATCTTCTGGAGGAGGCCAAAGCCAAGTTGGTGGCCCAGAACAAGCAGATGGTGAGTGACGCTCCAACATAAAGAGGCACCACAAGGTACCAGGGGGGAGGAGGCTGTGCAGTGTCTACCACAACACTGCTGGACCGAGGGATGGAGTAGCAAACCGAATGCTGATTGAATATGTTACTGTCCAGTGCCATCAGAATAACCTAGGTGTATCAGCAGTGTGTATGGTGTGATAAAATGCTACATTTCCATTATAGACGTGGTTGTTTGTGGATCCTGGTATTGGGTATATACCCCACATTTTAGAAGTGTTTCACCACCCTTTTCTTGTATTGAACTTATGCAGCTGTAAAATTTTAAAATTAGACTATGGGCCAAGGTTTGTGAACCATCGCACGTATTTGAGTTCATTGGACCTACCAGTCCAAAACCATGCCCAATAATGTAGAGCTGCTCCAACCCCCTTGTGACTATTAACAGCCTCCATTCTTCTGGAAAGGCTTTCCACAAGACTTTGGAGTACCTGTGGGAATGTGTGCCCATTTGTGAGGTCAGGTACTGATGTTGGATGAGAAGACATGGCTCACATTTGTTGTTCCAGTTGATTGTAGAGGTGTTCAGTAGGGTTAAGGTTAAGGCTCTGTGCAGGGTACTGGAGTTCCTCCACACCAAACTGGTCAAACCATGTCTATATGGAGCTGGCTTTTTACACAGGGGTGTCATGGTGGAACAGAAGATGGCCTTCACCACACTGTTACCCCAAGGTTGGAAGAGCACAATTGTCTAAAATGTCTTTGTTGCAGGGTTAACAATACCGTTATCTGCATATACTTGAGCTCCATTATTTGAAAGGGTGTCCACATATCTTTGGCCATATAGTGCATCTCATTGTAGCTTGTAAAACATTCCCCAACTAAACTGCTCTTATTACTCTTAAAGATTCCCTTCCTATAATGGCAGATTCGTTTTTCCCCTATACACACATAGGAAATGCAGGACATGTTGGGCTCGTTTTGTGATTTTTCTTCTAGAAGTGTGGACAGCTGATTATGTTTTCTGCCTATTCAGGAAAAGGAGAACATTGCTTTAATTCACAAGATCAGTTCCTTACAGGAAGAGGTAAGTGCCCATCCCAGCATCTTCTGTTACTGATCTTGTTGCCAGACCACTAATCTCTACAAAAACCTTCTCATAAGATTTTATGTATTCATGTTATTCACCTGTACAAGATTTTCCAACGAAAGCTATAGGACCACCATGTCAGTGCTGACAAAACATGACTTTGTTGAGAAGCAAACGGTATGCGATGTGGTTCCTCAATATCTGACACCATTTTAACTAACGAGGGGCTCTTTCTGGTACAAGAACGGGTCCAGGATATGTCATAGTTGTTCTTGTAACTTTTTGAGTTTCTTTTTTTTTAAATTTGGTCACAGAATCACCGTAGCACCCTGGAAGTGGAAGAAGTCAGGAAGACCCTTTCTGAGGTTTCTGACAAAGCGGAGGTTCTCCAGGTAAACAGTCGCTGCCTTCGAGCAACCATGCATTGAGAGCTTTTCGACAATAGTAATACTTAAAAACTTTAAAAAAAAAAAAAGTCTTCGGCTGGAGCTCTCTCCTAAAAGCTGAACCCCATCTGCCCCTTATTGAGAGTGTGGATCTTCACATGCCTGAAGGTCACCTTCATCACATATGACCCCCGGGCTTTGGCTGCATCTGCACAGGACTCGCCACCAGCCAATATAGGTGGCCATGTGAGAAGCACCAGGCCGGTTATAGGATGGAGTCATGAAAATTGCCTCTTTTCTAGAAAAAAAAAAAACTTCTGGAAGTCTCTTTCTCCATCTCCAGATGGTGCTCCTGACTGCTTTTCTAGTTCTCATTTCTTGTATTTAATGTTTTGTTTGCAGATACAGCTGACGGAGTTTGAGGGCACACTGCAGAAGAAGGATGCCGGGCTCCTTGTGGTGAGGCTGAAGTTTTGTTGGATATTTCTTCCATCAATTAGTCTAGGCACACAGTTACAAGCAAAGTGACAAACGTCAGAGCGGCCATACACAGCCTGATATTTGCAGATGATACATAAGATTTGAGTTACTTTCAGCATGTGCATCCAGTAAAAGCCATCACTGAACATATGGCTGAGACTTCATTCTGCTGCTGCAGGACTATACAAGCATGGAGCTCTTCTCCCTGAATTGGCCAATGGGCAGGAGAGATTTGGGATCCTCGGGGATGGTGTTATTGTCTTGTGCAGAAACTGATGTGACTGATTCAGTGTTCTCTGTGCAGAATGTCAGAGCTACGGTATATAAATGTATAATAGTGGGGGGCTGTGATGGGACATTAGAGTGTAAGCTCCTCTGGTACAGAGACTGATGTGATTGGCTGATTGTTCTCTGTACAATACTGTGGAATATGTCGGAGCTGTATAAAAGTATAATAACTGTGTGTGACTGTAGCCGGATATTGGAGTGCAAGCTCCTATGGTGCAGAGACTAATCTGAGTGGCTCATTGTTCTCTGTATAGCACTATGTAATGTGTCAGAGCTACATATATGAATAATAGTATGTGACTGTGAGGGGACAGTAGAGTGTAAGCTCCTCTGGTGCACAGATTAATGTGACTGGCTCAGTGTTCTCTGTACAGCGCTATGGTATATATCGGAGCTATATAAATGTTTAATAATTGTGTGTGACTGTGGTGGGACATTAGCGTGTAAGCTCTATTGGTGCAGAGATTGATGTGACTGGCTCAGTGTTCTCTATACAGCACTATAGTATATTTGAGGTATATAATGGTATGTGACTGTGGCAGGATATTAGAGTGTATGCTCCTCTGGTGCAGAGACTGAGGTGACTGGCTCTGTATTTTCTGTACAGCATTATGGTATATGTTAGAGCTATATAAATGTATAATAATAGTCAGTCTGTCTGTGGTGGGTTGAATATGTCGGAGCCCTACAAATATATAGAAAGTAAATTAAAGTATTTGGTTGTGTTGCAGAAAGATCTGTATGTGGAGGAGTTGAAGTCCATGTTGATGGAATACAGTTCTGTTATTGAGGTAATGGCAGAAAGTTGATTTTTATTGTATGTGGTGTGTGTTTTTTTTGTATCTCCATTATCTCTGTCCGTCTGTTGCTGGTTTCTCATATCGTTGAGCCAGTTTTGTAAACTTCATAAATTTGTTACCATTTCTGGGGTTTGGGGAAACGTCTGGAATGTGTATTATTGTCCCGCACGATCCATCTTCTCCTTTTAACCTTTCAGAATCTAAGACTGGAGAAGAACAAGCTGGAGCACAATCTGCAGCAGATGGAGCAGGAGCTTCTGTCGTACGTATTTTGAATGCTCTTCAGTGATATGGCAACCGGCTGATAAAGGAAATACTGTAACCCTGTAGAAAAATACTATTTAATGACCAAAAACTGCTGCGGTCAAATGCAGTCTGCTGATATCTATGTGTACCCCCTTACTGCCAATCTGCAACAGTTGGGATTTGTAGAACAGACAATAATGGAACGTGTATACATTTATTTTTTTCCTTCTTCTTACTTAAAAGTAATAACCTTCATATTTATGATGCAAAGATTACTACTTTGTGTCATCATTGACCACTCAAATATATCCATAACTGATTTTGAGGTCAAAGGAAGTGAGCCTTGCTTCCTGTTTCGTTGCCCATATGTGGTTTCTCATACCAGTGATAAGTATTGCATCACCTTGCCACCATTTTTACAGAGCCTTCCAAGAAGGTCCTTTAAACGTGATTGAATTATATTAATTTATCATTTTGATTATATACAAGTATAGTAATGTAAAATTTGAACTCTGTGTGCAGTTGGGTTCTGAAGGCAGAGAAGTGAAAGTCCTCTAAGATCTCCATCTTCTCTCTAGGAACGGCATCAATTCCCCAATTACGTACAAGTTAAACCGCATCATTAATGGTGGTCTGAGCTCGCTGCACACAGAGCTGGAATACGCACAACAGTCTCCGGAGGTATGTGCATGCTGTACAGAGTATAATTGGTCCAGCCTTACCCACTATGTCTGCTTTGCTCACCTAGCTCCCCAATGTTGTCACCTGACCAGGTCACCACTGCCGAAGGGACATTCTTCTCAGGACGATCGTCCGCCCTCGACGTCACCTTGGACCGTGAGATTCTCCTGTTGCTCCAGGGACCGGGACATGAACAACCCGGTGCTGAGTTTAAAGCCATCCTGCAGACGATGGTGAGAGCAAGAATGGGCTCCGAATGAGGAAGGGGGTCCGCAAGGGGTTGTAATACATTGTAGAGTGAAATCTTTAAAAGGTTGTAAATCCTATTTCAATTCTAAATGTAATAATGTAATATTTAAATAATATAAATATTTTTTTAAACCATTATTTACTTTACAGTTGGCCTATCCTCAGATTTGTTTAGTTGACTGCAGCATGCTCATGTCAGTGTAACACTTCCAGGTATTTATTACATATCACAGGACTCCCCCTGATGTCTTAATCTGCTTTTCTCTCCAGAACAACAGCGCCATCTTTATTCAGTCATCATCCAGGGTCACCATCTGCAGTCACCGATCAGCTGCAGCCTCTCACCTTGTGACTTGCAATAATGTCACAATGTACAGTCTGATTACTGGTGGAGGAGAGACTGAGGAAACGCTTCCTCCTGCCTGCAGCAGACTGATGACATCTCAACCAAAGCAAAGTCACTGGCTGTTGCTCGGGGATGGCTTTTTTAATGATAAAAGTTGGAGCTGTATTTTGTGACATGTCAGGGGTTTCAGAGGTGCCCCCAGGCTGGGTGTCACCTGCTGGGACATTACACATGCGTATGACATGATGCACGCGCAAGAGAGGACCGGAAGTTCATTTGGTGGGATAAGGTATGCCGCCGGGTCCCCTCCTCTCTAGTACTGCTTTCAGGGCTCTCTTGCCCAACTTTTTAGAGGAGTGACCCCCAAAATAACGGTCAGTCATTTTGGTGTCACCCAGTGCAGGCAGCACCCCCTTGTGAGGGGTTTATTCATGCAGAGCTGTAAAGTTACCGAGAGACCCAAAGAGATTTGCATCAAACTTTTAAAATGTATTTTCCAAAACTGAACATCCGCTTTATGGCCTTTTGATTTGTCTCTTCACAGCAGGGTGACACATGTGTGATGGCAGACAAGCTTCTCGAGTCCATACAGAGTCTGATCACCTCCGATATTGATGTGAAGGATTTATCCAGGAAGATGATCGAGGTAAATTTGGTCGGAGTAATTCCATAATAGCCCTGGCATTGGTAAGGTATCTGTACTCGAGGCTCGCTATCCAGGCTCTCGCCCCCCAGAGCTGACATTCTACTGTGCTATGCCTATGAATTAAGTCTGCTGTCATGCTGTTAATGAGCACCACCACTAATCCTGATTTAATTAACCCTTCCTTTAAATAAAGCCAAAGGTTTTTTTTGTGGTGTTTTTTTTAAACATTTATCTGTGGTCATCCTCATCCTCTGCTCTCTTTTTAGGTGATAACAGCTGATATGAAGGAGAAAAAGGCAAACTGGGAGCAGAGGCTGCGTCAGCTGGACAAACACATGGAGTCTATGGACTGCGACTTCATCAAGATGTCTGGGAATGTGAGACGGATGAAGACAGAGCAGCTCCACCTGAAGAAGGAACTTTCCTCCAGGTCAGAGAACTCTGTTCCTGAATTCATAACGTATTACTCTGTCCTGTTCCCAAAGCCTCGCTATTACCTGCACCTCTAATTACCCATCATCCTGTGCGCAGGAACTGACATTCCAAATTGTTCCATTTAGAGTGTCTGTACAGGCTGCTAAAATGAGGGGAGGGACCAGTGTGAAAGCTTGGTTCATACACAGGAGCTCGAACAGTCTCATGTTTCATTCCAGTTTTCTGTTCAGTCAGTTTTACATTCTCTTTATTAGTTATAGTTTACTTATAGTATATATTTTTTATTTTGAAACTATAATATCTATATCTCCACACACACTGTATATAATACATACACACAGTATAATATGCATCTTACATTTTTAATGGCAAAATTAATAACATTATTAACATTAGAACATCTAGACACAATTTTAGTGTGTGTGTGTCCTCCTATGTATTTGGTCTGGTTAAAAACAAGTTTAAAGCTATAAATATTGTAAAGCTTTTACTTTAGCAAGTTCTCTCTATTTCCGTTTTCCAGTCTTGTCTACAACACTTTGGGACATTTGGACACCACATAATGTATAATCTTTATACAGACTTTTAAAGAGACTTATTTCTTTTACATTTTCATTGTTTGTACTGTTATTTAAATAGATCTACAAAAAAAAATGACCTGTTAGACTGAATCTGTTATAAATGTAAATTTTATTGGCAGTGCAGGAGTCCTCTTCTAGAAGGTTGTAGTCTGAGGCCCCCGGTGTTGTCCTCTCCTGTGTTCGGTGATTATTTTGGAGTGTGCCGTGTGTACAGGGAGTGTGGCGGCTCCATGTTTGTTTATGGTGTGAGAATCTGGCTACAGCTTGCCTATCCTTCATGCTGAAAAAACTCCTTCGGACGCTTTGAAGCTCCCCACTGACTGTAATCTAAATAGGAATATTGGCTGCTATCTGCCTTTGTTATCTGTGTAATGTTTATAGAAAGCCAGTTTCAGCTTGTGTGCCCAAATCTCCTTCCACCGGAGCACACTTATAGGATCTTTGCTAAATTTTGAGAAGTGCACTTTTAACAGAGACCGGTGCATAGAGGAATGATAGAGGTAGGGTTGTTGGGATGAACACTAAATTTATCCCAGACACCGCATATCCAGTTATTGAAAGCTACAACCGAACAGCTACGATGTCCAAAGCAAACGCCAACGTATTTGAGCAACGCTAACAAAAGGGCGACCAGTGATGCTTCTATTCTCAGTTGAAGGCTGAAGACACTGAGCAGGAAAGAGTATGGAGCTCACAAAAGTAAATGAGGTTGGGGATGCTTATCTGCAGATTCTGGTTTCTAGGATTGAGCAAAGTTGAGTTTTCAGTTCCCTGTAATTGTCAAAAAATGGCAGACTATCTGCATAACTTTGTCATTTTCAAGAAGTACATTTAGGAAGAGGAAGTTAAAGTGACACTAAACTTAGGTGCTAATACTTAGAAATGCATTCAAGTACCTTAACTATTAAGAAAATTGGCTTATTTGTGTATCATTCGGTTGTAGATCTCCAATTATCTGCTGACACTGTCCTTCCTTCTGGAGGGTGACTACTTTTGTTCCCCATGGTCACACTCCAAGCTCAGCCCCGTGATGGGCTACAATCTCAATACAGATTAGTAAACTGAATGTGAGATTGTAGTCAATCGCAGGAGTGAGTTTCGAGTGGTGGCTACTTTACAACATATACAGGGACCATGGGGAACAAAAGTATCCCCCCTCCAGAAGGAAGGACACTGTCGGCACCAATTCAGAGATGATTTGTGGATCTACAGCCGAGTGATACACAAATAAGATACATTGTTGTTGATAGTTAAGGTATTTGAATGTATTTTTAGGATTTAACCCTGAGTTTAGTGTCACTTTAAGTGGCCTTTCGTCGGTTTTAAGGGTGCAGTGGGCATTAAATGGTTCCTTAGAGATCCGGAAGCTGCTTTCACATATCCTGGACATGTTCTTTATACCAAAGCAAAAAAGGAATCCTCCATTAGTCTCATTACTTTGTTTTTTTTTAGACAAGGTGGATCCGAGGCCCTAGGCCCGAGGCCCAGTGTGGACTGTTGTGCTGTGACTAAGCACCATCCATACATGCTTGTACAGCTCCCTTGTGTGCCCTTGAAGTATCATGAACTAGAATGTGACAGCACTCCGGTTCCAGCACCTACTGGACACTGCACCGGGCTGCATATTTTGAATGGGTGCTTGGCTTGAGAACTGACCATGCTGCGGTAGGGTGAGACTGAGGAGCCACTGTATACGGGGTCTTGCCCCACTTTTGGGTCACAACCCACCAGTTGAGAACCAAGGGTCTACATACTTCTGGCCATATAGTATATGTACATTTTGTTGCTCACTCCACATCTCCAGTAAGGGGTTAACTGCAAACATTAATTTTGTTTCTGCCTTACAGGTACGCCGAGTAATTTGTCCTTGACATTTTATGAGCCGTGTTTACAGTATTTATCATCCGCTGTAAACATCTAATTTAATTACTCAGCAGAGCATAACAGACCCAAGGACTATGTAATCCATCTCCTTTTGGGGTGGAAAATTATCTTCTCTGTGTTTATACTACCTGCAAGCGTTTAGAACAAAACCTGCTAATCTTCACTGCCTCTGTATTCTTTCCCTTAATCCACAGGTGGAGGAAAGTTACAGCTGATCCTCCATTGCCCTTTCCTGCACCTGTCCTGGATTACTGGTGGTAGTCTATACTGCCCGCTCTCCAGGGTCACTTGCTGACCTTGTAAGACGTTTACATTTCAATGTCTCCTGAGAGTTTGGATGATCCTCTGACAGCGCTGTACATAATGAGCTTCTCTGGTGCAGGATATAAAGTGATGGTATTCGGCCATCTGTCATCCTTTTTATGGATCTGGAAAAATGGCTTTTGGACGCTTAAAAGGCTTTCAAAGCTCTAAAGTTTTGAAAAGTAGCAGAACTCTGGAAGAAGTGACGGGAGAAAGCCCCATGAGATTCTCCAGGGTTGTCACCAGACGCTTTGTTTCATCTGCAACCAAGAGTTGCTTCCAGACGTGTTGGGATATATCATTCAACACTCGTGTCACATTGATCATTATATAAAGTACAGCAGTGCACAGTGAGCATGTATATGTAATTGTATAGAGTGCTGCTAAGTAGTGTCAGTGTAACACTTCTGGGTATTTATTACCTCTCCCAGAGATCTCGCTACTTCCCCTGATGTCTTCATCTGCTTTTCTCTACAGAAGCATGGCACCATCTTTGATTAGACATCATCCAGGCCACCAAACATGTACACTGGTCATTCATGAGGACAATCCATTCATAAACCTGCCCACTGGTCATTCATGAGGACAATCTGTTCATAAACATGTACACTGGTCATTCTATGAGGATGGTCCATTCACAAACCTGTACACTAGTCACTAATGAGGCTGACCCATTCACAAACCTGTACACTGGTCACTAATGAGGATGACCCATTCACAAACCTGTACACTGGTCATTCATGAGGACAATCCATTCATAAACCTGCCCACTGGTCATTCATGAGGACAATCTGTTCATAAACATGTACACTGGTCACTAATGAGGCTGACCCATTCACAAACCTGTATACTGGTCATTCTATGAGGATGATCCATTCACAAACCTGTACATTGGTCATTCATGAGGCTGACCCATTCACAAACCTGTACACTGGTCATTCTATGAGGATGATCCATTCACAAACATGTACATTGGTCATTCATGAGGCTGACCCATTCATAAACACACTGTGGTCATTCATGAGGATGATCTGTTTATGAACATGTACAGTCATGCTGGCTGCAGGAATGTCTGTGTGCATGTTAACTGACCATTTTTTTTTTTCATTTTAGTTTTGGACACAGTAGGGAAAAATTAGAGACTCACTTCTCCTGCTGTAGGCTTTAAAACACAGAATACATTTAAAAGGTCTGGGACCCCTTTTAATGTAGGGAGCAGTTAGGAGTTGCTAGGAACTCAAGTGTTGAGGAGTCCTCTCTAGGGTTCTCAAGAAATACAAACAAGCTGGGGAGTGAGTCAGCTACCCTCCACCCAAAACTGAAATATTGCTTTTGTGTTGAGCCCTTGGCTGTTTGTGATTCTATAGGGTGACCTCCCCAGCTGTATACTGACATATATATCCTGTGCCGTGTGTATTTGTTCGCTGATAAGCCCGGTCATTGAGGGCTGCTGTATTTGTTTTATCTGCTTTATCTGCTTTTTGCATATGACATCACTGTGCAAGAGCAGAGAACATGATCCCAGGTGTGAGACATCCTCCGACGCACAAAATGTCACTGACGTGTGGTTTCCCCTCTTCATCTGTACAGGGCTCATGAGCTGGAAGCAGCCAGACAGCAGCTAGAAGAAGCCGAGGGACGAGAGACCCAAATCTCCGCTCAGCTGCACAATTCTGCCGCACAACAAGAGGACCTGTCCAGACAGGTAACCCTGCACCTTGTCCTGTTGCTAGCCAGCTTGACGTACAGTGTGTCACTTATAGCTGTTCCTCTACAAATGAAATACAACACGTTGGGGGGAATTTATCCAAACTGGAGCAAATTTGCACTGCAACCAATCAGCTTCTCTGTCATTTTCAAATCTTACCTGAGCAATCTGAAGAGGGATGCCGATTGGTTGCCGTGGGCAACTGCTCCAGATTTTCTGCTCCCAGTTTTGATAAATTCCCCCCACTGTGTTCAAACTTTATTTCTTTACATATGTCTCTGCTTCCACTCTCACCTGTCATCCTACCTTATGCATAGAGGCAAGTCATGGAGCCAGTCATGTGATTGCCATAGAATGCCATTTGTGACTTTAGCCTTTCAGGACCGAGAAACATGATGTGTAGCTTTCAACATCAAGGACCATAATGTGCAGCGATCAGGGCTGAGAGCCATGATGTGTAGCTTTCGGGGCTGAGGGCCATAGTGTGTAGCTACCACGACTGAGACCCATGATGTGTAGCTACCACAACTGAGCCATAATATGTAGCTTTCAGGACCAAGAGCCGTGAGGTGTAGCTTTCAGGACCGTGAGAGCCAGGATGTGTAGCTGCCACGACCGTGAGAGCCAGGATGTGTAGCTGCCACGACCGAGAGAGCCAGGATGTGTAGCTGCCAGGGCCGAGGGAGCCCTGAGGTGTAGCTACCGGGGCCGAGAGAGCCCTGAGGTGTAGCTACCGGGGCCGAGGGAGCCCTGAGGTGTAGCTACCGGGGCCGAGGGAGCCCTGAGGTGTCGCTACCGGGGCCGAGGGAGCCCTGAGGTGTCGCTACCGGGGCCGAGGGAGCCCTGAGGTGTCGCTACCGGGGCCGAGGGAGCCCTGAGGTGTCGCTGTCAGCCAGGAATAAAATCTCACACACTTGAATTTCTGGGGGGATCAGAGAGGGAGTTGTGTTTTAATTCTTGCAGACTCTTCTATATTTCTTTTTACTTTTACATAAAAATAAATATAATTGAAAAAAAACGAAGGCTTAATACTCCTCCCAGACACAGTATGGCCGTGCTCCCACAGGATTAGAGATGAGTAAACTGAAATCCATGACCTGTTCATTCAGCGCACACCCAACATTCTGTTCTCCAGATTCTGATCAGATATTTATTCGTACAACTTTTTATTAAGTACATGTGAGCCCTGACTGGATGACATTCCATTTGCTCTGCACCTGAAACACATTTGTTTAAACAAAATTCTTATTTTTACCTTTTTTTTTTTTTTTCATCCTTTGTTCCATCTCAGTGCTGCTGATCTCAGTCAGCCTCTTTACAGTCACTTCCTGTCTACATGCACTCAAGCAATGGCTGCGTGTCATTTCTCAGGGAGGGTTTCCTGATGGTGACAACAATGGAACATGCCTGTGTAATGTGTGTTTAAAACGGCCACTTGTAGTCTCCCATCGGAAACTCGGGTGACAACTCAGGAGCGCAATAGATCAGACAGGGACAGAGCGTTGTCACACTACAACAAGGACCTTCATGGCAGCATCATTAGAGATTCATTTAATGAAAGCTGCAGATACTAATGTGAAATTTTACGGATTTGGTTTAAATCTAAAAAAAAAAATTTCTTTGGGGGTCCCTGGCTGTTGTTGTTATTTCAGCAAGTCCCCCCGTCTAATAGCTGGTCGGGAGCTGGACTATTCCATTATTCCATGCGCACCCCTGATACCCCAGCAGGAGCTCCTGGATATCTGGGGGGGGGAGGGGGTCAGTTAACTTCCCTGCTGAACTGTTAAAATAAGATGTCCAAATGTAGAAACAAATACTAATTTGTTTGCTCAGCAATAATATTCGGAGACAAAGTGAAACCTAACAAAAGTTCCCTCCTAGTGAAACAATGTTCATGTATTGTTTGATATTTTTTTTAGCTGGTTACAAAATAGCTACAAAGAGGAAGTTGGCAATACCCTCCCAAATTTGGCATCTTCCTGTTATCACACTTATCTTGTTTTTTTGTTTTTCTCTTGTAAAGAACCTCAAAAAAACCTCTCTCCACTCATCGATCTTTTTTAGAATAGAAGCAATAGTTCCAATCAGATCGAAAACTAAAACGACAATTGTTTCCACCACCCAGAATCTTTATCTGCCTGACATAATCCCTCGCTGTTCAGCCCATGATGGTGATTGGTGGAGGGGCGGAGGAGGTGGTGGTGGTGGGGGGTACCTTTTGGTATAGAGCACTTGATGAAGAAGTTTTGTTGCAGCTGCACGGTGCATCCCCTGCTGCCGCATCACGTTTGCTGAGTTGTTAATGCTTGGTCATGAATTCAGGTTGCCGAGCTGCAAGGCGCCCTTGACGTGCTGCGGACGGAGGTTGAGTCCCTGCGAGGCAAATTAGAGGAAGCTGAGAGGGAGCAGAAGGAACTGGAGGCTGCGAGGAGCCAGCTGCTGAGCCAGTGTCAGGACGGAGAGGGGAGAGCGAGGCGGCAGGAGGGTGAGCCTGTGCTGTACATCCTGTCTGTTGTCACCTTTTAGGGCTACATGGGTGACTTTTAACCACCTGGATAGGTTGGAGCTGCCAGGGATCAATCCCCATACTGGAACACAACCCATTGCAGGTGCTGAGGCGACCAATGTATGGCACCATCAATGAACTTCATAAAGATTTATCATCTGCACACCGAAAGGAGATTCAATAATACTGTTAAAATCGCACAATAGAGCGTGCTATGTTTTGGGGCCACGCAGGACCTTAGGAAGGGGTGCTGCTTGCTCCTGAAACATTGCACACTTGATTTTGTGAAGGGTTCCTACTTGGCCCTGAAATGTTTCTCTTTTATTGTGTGAAGGGCTCCTGCTTGGCCCCAAAACATTGCATGCTTTATTGTGTGAAGGGCTCCTGCTTGGCCCCAAAACGTTGCACGCTTTATTGTGTGAAGGGCTCCTGCTTGGCCCCAAAACGTTGCACGCTTTATTGTGTGAAGGGGTCCTGCTTGGCCCCAAAACGTTGCACGCTTGGTGTGAAGGGGTCCTGCTTGGTCCCAAAACGTTGCACGCTTGGTGTGAAGGGGTCCTGCTTGGCCCCAAAATGGTGCACGCATGGTGTGAAGGGGTCCTGCTGGGTCTAAAAACGTTGTATGCTTTATTGTGTGAAGGGGTCCTGCTTGGGCCCCAAAACGTTGCACGCTTTGTGTGAAGGGGTCCTGCTTGGACCCGAAATGTTCCTAATAAAGTTTTTTCCACCCTGGTTTTGGCGTGCGGATGACATATCTTTACAAAGCTGCAGCAGCAGATGATTACTAAACAAATGGCTCCCTATGGAGTAAACTTCACAAGTAGCATGTAGTAGACCTTGTAGTGGCATATGAATGGAGTATTGTGTGATAATGTGAGATTGATACTACATGATAACTTGCGTAGCTCACTCCGAAGGGAGCCATTTGTTCCATCTGCTTAGCTGACATTTTTTACATATACTAATTTATCACTAGAAATTTTAAGTAGCAGGATTCAGTTACTAAAAACTTGCTGTGTAGTCAGTGCTTATCCAAGTGATGTAAAGTAAAGAGGCATAAGCAGGATAGTAAAATTCCTCGTGCTGCCCCAGGGTTTCTCTGCACTGCTAACAGCTGGAACACTTTATACACCATCTTATAGTGTGCAGTAGGTTATAACATTCAGGGAGCAATGGATAAATAAAGCTGGTGATACGCTGCTTGAATTTGACCAGTGTGTGGGCCCATCGGCACCTGTCTGGTCAACAAAAGTTCATGGATTTGTATCAAAGGAGCTGGCCCGAAGACACTTGGCCAATCAGCTGCAGTCACCATTGGGGAAACTGGACATTGTCACACGGGGCAAAGGCTCAGAGTTGCTCCCCACCAAGGGAGAAGTTCTCCATCCACACCCAGTGGCGCCCGGGGCACATGTAAGGTTGCCACCTTTTTTTTCTAACGAAACCAGAACACACACGCGACGCACGGACATTTTTTTGGGAGAATGAGTGGTGGCTTATTCATATATAAATAGTGATGCCATTCATATGTAAATATCACAGTTGAGACTATTTTCAGTGGGGTGACAGTAGCCCCTATCTTAATTTTGGTTGCCCCTGTCTGCCTGACATCTTGTGTCCGGGTTTCTGCTGCCATGAAACCTGGACACAGCATTCAAAACCCGAATTGTCCGGGTTAATCCAGGACAGGTGGCAACCCTAGGCACATGCCCCCCCTGTTTGCCCCCCCCCCCCCAGCTTTAGCCCTGGCAGTCACTGTTGAGGTATTCTAACAGCCATGGGGTGGTCAGGGATTCTCCTATTCATGCTGTTTAGCATTGATAAGGGGTAGGATGCATTTTTTGATAGCACATGCGTTGTATGGCTGTCCTGCCTTCATATCCTAAGCCCTGGGCTATTTTTAATGCATGGGTTCCTTCCCCCCAGTTTCATTGGATCATTCGTAAGGGTCAGTGTACATACGTTTGTGTATTTCCCATGGCGTGGGTTTGTGAAACAATTCTATAGATATTTGAACTGGATCTTATGCAGCATAATTCTCTTTTTAGCAGGGCTGAGCCAAACTGGGGGCCCATTCACACCACAGCGATGCATTAAATGCACGATACTGTGCATGCGCTACTACTTTTTACCACACTGCAATGCATGGGGGTACCTTTTTAAAGTAGAACTTGCAGTGGGGCTACCCCTGCTATGCTAGGGTTAAGTGCTTGTTTTTGCCTAGGGTCCGAAATAATAGTTCTACTCACCTGAGCCTCGGAGCCAGCTGGCTGTCACAGTGCTCCCTCAGCCTGTCTCCTCCTCCCACAGCAGCGATGGCATGTCAATCGGCGTCATCACATCCTATACTCTGTGTATATGTGGATGTGATGGCTTGCGGGACCTTAGATCACTGCAGCAGAGGGGGAGAGATGCTCCAGCAATCCAGCTCCGAGGTTCGGGTGAGTATGCCTTTTAATTTAAGCACCTAGACAAAAAAGAGCCCTCACCTTTTGCACCTAGCGCGTGGTACTGCGACAACAGGAAATGGTATGGCGTGGAAGGGCCCTGAGAGTTGTCATTTTCTCAAAATAAATGCAAAAAATAAGATTTGGGCAAAATGCATTGAAGTCAATGGGGAAGGAGATATTTAAGGTGGCTTTTAAGGTGGCTCAGTTCTCCTGTGGGTTGCAGAAGCTCCTTTTCCCCTCATCCAGGTTTCCACTTGCTATGCCTGCTGGTCTTGTGTTTGCAGTAATCGC